GTACTGTTCTTACAGGCTCTCCATGCTTGATTTGTCATCCTCTCCTTGGAATAGATAAATTTTATTTTACAGACTGGAATACAATACATTCTCTGCAACAAGGGACAGCTCTTTGTACTTATTTTAGACCTTTTACCATCAATATCTGCCAGAAGTATGAAATACAGCACAACTGGCATAGAAGATCAATGCCTTCTGAAGTCCTCAATATCCACTGCTCCAATGTAAACATTTTCTTATGTATTGAAGCCAATTGCATTTTAAAGCTTAAGGCAACTTAAAAAGTGATAAAATACATAAATGACATTACACATACATAATTCTGGAAGACTGCTAACTTACAGTAAGAGAGCTTCTTTATCTTAATTCTTGGTATATATAAAAATAAGCACTTTAAAGAAGCGCACGGTTCCAGCAACTGTAGCCAAGAAGAGACTGTATTTCTAAGCTCAGAAGCTTGATGATTAAAATCTGCCTAGCAAGAGAACATTTTTATCTTATGCATAGCAACACTTCAAATGGACATGTTAATTAAAAAAAAAAATCATGTAAATATGAAGAAAAAAACCAACCTGATAGCAGCATTTGCAGAACCCGATACTGCTTTTTCTGTCTTGCTAGGGATTCTGCTTTCTTTAAGGGATGACTTCCGCTTTTTCAATTTTAAGGAATGGAGATCTTGTAAAGGGCTAAGCTTAATTCCCAAATACTGCAAATGGGAGAGCTGCTAGGCTTTAAAATATCTGTGCCATGAAGTATTGTGACAATTATTAGGTAGGATAGCTGATATCAACTCAGGAATCATAAGAGTTTATTTTACTCATGACAAAGCAGTTAATGCAACTATTGTTCTCTTACAATGACTGAAACATGAACAGCAGTCATATGATTTTATGTAAGTTCAGTTAACCCTCCTCCTCATATTAAGACACTGTGATTGTTTGATGCAGGTAGGAGTGATAACAAGTATAGTATTTTTACAAAACACCAAATTAAAATTAATTTTTTTCCTGTGATACATTTTTGAAAGCTCTTTTACTGTTTAACCATTAATATACACTCTATCTTGTAACACTGTTTTCTCTCTACTAACAATTATGCCATTTGTCTTTATTTTGTTCTCATCTATCACGGTTTTATGTAAAAGTCAGTGTGTATATTCCAAACCTCATTTCCTGAAACAACTCTGTGAAGACTACAAGTACCATCTCAAATATATCAAACTCTGAACAGTTTAAATCTGTCAATAGACAGTAGCTTAGGACAATAATCACAAATTTACAGCAGAAACAGCTGTTGTGGTTTAAGATGTTGCTCTTAAGGAAGGTAGTTGAGGTAGTTTCCTTGAAGTCCACATACACATCTCCCCTTTATCTTGTCTGGCCTTCTTGACTGAAGTTCCTAAGCAACCTAGCATGTTCTTCACGGTCAACAACCTGAGTAGTTGCCAGAACAAACAGGGGAGCAGGGAAGGAGGGAGGGACAGAGAGCACGTATGTGTGCTTGTGTGAGTGTGTTTAAAATGGAATGGGAAATGAGAAGGGAGATTCAAATGTGACAGACGGTGGCAGCATTCAGGTGCTACCTTGGGGCATAAAACAGATGTTGTTCACATCATGCAAGCATCCTCTTCTGCTTCACAGCAAAGTAAGGCAGTTTAGTTTCAATTGTCCTCAACAGGTTAAGGGAAAATCACATTGTTTTACATTGAAGTGGGTGAATACCAATAATTGTTTCTGTAACTTAGCTGTTCGTAGGCTTCTGCATGAACAGATGTACACTGCTGAAATAAGCAATAGTGTCTTGACCACTATCTGTGTTATATCAGGTCTTACTGACCACTCAGCTATCTGGACAAACAGATAATCTCTTTCATGGTCATGCTCCCAGCAACAGTTTCCAGTATAGATCACAATTACATACAAATACTATAAAAGGGAGAACATTCATGAGAACATTCATTACAAACTTGCAGTAAACTGGTCAAATCAGTTAATACAGAAACATTGTTCCCAGGAGTAGACAATAGTATTGATCTGCCACTGAAGATTAGCAAAAAGTGTCACCAAAGCTCCCTGGGTTGGAGAAAACCCTCCCCACGCCCCCACCCCCCAAAGACCCAATACCAGGGATTTCAGAATCCTCTCTATATACCAAAGATCTTGAGACACCATCAGCCACTCAGCTATTACTATTTAAAACATTACTTGTTCATTATTGGCTGCAACTACATTAGCAGTTTGGTTCAGACCAATAGAGCAGCTTTGAAGAATTATGCACACTTACTGCTTCAGTCTGATTTTAGGAACAGTTTCTGTGCATTAATGAGATTCTTTCACAAGGAAACCAAACTATAAGATATGCTGCAACTATGCACCAAATACACTTCAAATATTAATAGCAACATACGTCTGAATTAATAATTGGTCCTTCAGACAATCACATACATGGCAGGGATGCTTGGTCCTGAAGGTCAGAGTAAATATGATCCACAGCAAAATCCCTAAGCCACGTGCAGATTAGATGCATGCACCTCAGCACCAACTGTTAATTGTCCTATTGCACCAAATTACCTGCTCATGCACATACAGTCACTGTCTTTGTCTTTATTACTGCTCTCCGAGTAGAGTCAGCACAACAAAAATCCAGGAGTTGAGCTCAAAAGTCATCCCTGCAGCAGGCTAATGCAAGCTGCTGACTTGGGACTGACGTAGCTGATGCAGATTCTCATGTTCCTTTCCACTGACTTTGCTGAAGGTTACTATGCTTATAGTGGTAGGGCACAGAATGGTATCCACACAACTAGACTCACTAAAGCATCTACATGAATGCGCCTAGATCCTGTGCAAAAATCCAAAACCCACCCAAAGATTGTTTTCCTGCATGACACGTGGCACTTTGAACATACTTTATGATTAAGCTACCACGAAGGTCACACTAAGTGTGGACATTTCATGCAACCTAACTGGTATGAAACCAGGCATTTAAAAAAAACCTTTCCTCTGTTTTTTGGTTTGTTTTTGTGGGATTTTTTTTTTTTTGGGGGGGGGGGGGGGGGGGGAG